TACAGACAAACTGCAACAGTGCTGTTTTTTGGTTTTTCTGATATAAAATGCTAGGCTCAGAACCACCGGTGATGGGCGATACACCCATGCTACTGGAGGAGTGGCAAGTGTACGAACGCACCATGGTGCAAGGTGACAGGGTGACCTTCCCCGCAGAGCGTACCCGTCCACTACACGAGGTTTTCATCCCTCGTGCATGCTACCAGATCTACAAGGTGGAAAACCATCCAAGCAGTCATAAGTGCGGTTTGTGCATTAATAAATAACTCCAGCCACCAGATATTTTATCCGGTCGGGGGCAAGGCCAGGCCAGTAAAACAGCCCACTGATTTCGAACAAGCAAACAGCAAATAACCACTGGAGGAGGCAAGTCGCGGAAGCAAACTAACCATCAACTACCTTTTGGGCAATGGGATTACAATGGAGATGTTCAGAGCCTTGTATAAACGAAGACGATGCATTGGGAACCACTCTGTCATGTCGAGGCGCACCAGTGTTTTGTTTATGTATGAATGATTGGGCTGTAGGGCCAAGCAATTATTCCATTCATAGCGCATCTCCAGAGCCGCCATTTGATATGTGTGCACTGCGCACGTTCAGGGGGTGCTGAATGGTTGAGAACAGCGAGAAAATTAGGCTTTAGTTTGGCTGAGGTTAGTTGAATCCAGCCGAAGCAAAGCACCAGATATTAAATAGAGCTGACAGGGTTACTCAGGGATGGGACTAGGCTTGAAGAACTAGGAATAATTGGGCTGGGTACATAAAGCTTAAGGCCGGAGGAAGGATATGCAACCAGATCAGTGGAGGCGGGTATGAGAGAGATAAAGTGGCAGGTTATAGATAAAAACACTTGAGAGGGTGGTTGTCGCACTTGCGGACTAATGCTAATGGTTCCAGGCTGGTAAGTGTAGGTGCTAGGACCTAGTAACAGGACAGTCAGGGCGAGTGCGCAGATTAAAAGTGCTTAGGGCCTTTTTCAAACAAAGTGTCTAGTGCAAGCTGAGGGGCGATAAGACGCTCAGCTCCTTCAATAGAAAGGTAAGAATCAATGGCCTATGTGAGATTAGATAATACGGACATGGGAGGGCAGCTTGTTCCATAGGTTAGAGTGAAAACAAAGGAAAAAGTTTTGTCTAGAGACAATTTGACATGTCGACATTGAGAGTGAACATCCAGAGTTACGGATAGAGAGTACAGGAATAAAAATCAGGGCGTCAGTCAGCTATGTAGGCCCGCCGGCAGATTTGGCGATGAAGAAGGCCTAGATTCAACCTGCTGCACCTTAGCCGTAATGTATCCAGCTCAACTGACAAACAGCAAAGACTATAAGGTAGTGTGGATAACACCGGAAACAGAAACTTAGCAAACGAGCGCTGCACAGTCTCCACAGCGGTCCGTCATATCTCTGAATACTGTGAGGCAAATTCAGGGCTGGATTCAAGAATGGGTCTTACAAATTGTTTAAAAATGGCAGTTAGACAGGATTTATTATGGGAGGATCGGTGAATGCAAGCGCAGAGCTTGCGAGCTTTAGCCACTGTACCTTGCACGTTAGTTGAAGCTAAATGTACAGTAATACCTAAGGCCTAGGTCTCTCAGTTCGGGAAGTCTAGGAATAGAGTCCTTTAAGCAACCCAGTCAGTCCGGGAAGGTAATCGCCGGCAAAAGAAGGCAGGGTATGAGGAAAGTAAAATGGCAACTACCAATGGGAAAATGAAATGGGAATTTTCAGAGAGAGTGGCCACCGAGCATTAGTGTGAGCTACCATGCTGTTTGGGTGCTGGTAGGCTGTGGAGCACATAATCAGGTAGACTACATATTGGCATTTAATGCGCTTTCGTAAATGGTTTTAGCTTGGTTTATGTGGGTTAGATCTTGACCAAACAGTGCGTCAGTCACTAAACTGAGCTGGCAGATTGACCCATGGTAGGTACTTGGCATCTATGGTCTTATTGAAGTAAAACCCAAAACTACCGCCGAGGCCCCGTGGCCTTGGACTATTGGCTCATGGCCAAGGCCACAAAAATTGTAAGTGGGGATGATGAAGTGAATAGATTGGCAAAGCGGGTAAGTGATGACAGGAATCTCAGAAACATGATGTACAGCGAAGCTCACTGGTGCCTGTGTTGTGGAGTCTGGCATAATAGTTCCCTGGAAAAGTGAGATAATGGCGACACACGAACCGGGACACTAACTATATAGAAAGGTACTAAATTTTGCGGGAAGCACAAACACGCGGAAATAATTAAATTCGAACGGAAGTTTCAGCAGATTAGAATGAATGTCGCGGAGGCAGGTGGGCTCAGATGAGGAGCTTGTCCGTATTGGCAGTTAATGGAACAGGTGGGTGAGATGGTACGGTTGAGAGAATGAAGGGAATGGTTGCGGGTGTGATACCAAACTGAGTACGGTAGTGCCATGCCATCGTTGATTTGGTATACTTCGGTTTTTGGGCATCCCCGTAACGGACTTCACATTTAAGGTCATTGGGCTGGGATGAGCGATTCTTCGCGCAGCGGGATTTTTTCGGGAATAGCCGAGGAACAAGTTGGAACGAAGCGGTTATAGGGTTGCAGGGTTTTTGGTCTGTTTGGGTATCCTGTGGTTACAGAGCATACGCCTGGTGGAGTGCATAACAGCCGAACAGGTCGCCCAAACCGGATAATGCGAAGTTCAAAGCTTGGGAAGACGAGATGATTGGATGAGATTGGTAAAGCATGATCAAGCAGGCAGTTAACAGACTACAGTGGCATGAAATAAGTCAAAGAGATAGCATAATATAATGACGGTACCTTTCACTCGCCCGCTAACTGAATTTTCGCCAAACTCAAAGTCGTTTTAGGTCCTTTATAGGGAGACCGGGAGAAGTTGGATATTAACTAAGGCGGCGGCAGTTTCACAGGTAAGGACTCTATCGATCGACTGAGAAAATGTTTAGTGGTGAGTGATATTTTGCAGACTCCAAGAATAACCGCCTTGGATGCGGGCGTAGTAATCTATGAAGAAATAGTAGCGTATTTTGGTGCGAGCTGGGGGACACACTGGGAGTTTGCCGGAGTTTCGGCTTCTCTGGGGACGAGATGACATAAGGTCTGGTATATCCTCTATTACAAAAGCGATTTGTGCAGCAGACAGTGTACAAGAGTTAAATGTAGCTTAAGCCGTCTGAGTTATAGTGGCTCAAGGCATAATTTTCGGCAGCGAGAGCGGTGGGAGAGTGGATCGCACTGTGGAAACAACTTTTTTGTACATGAGTACAGGACGCTTTTGAATACTAGTCTCCAACTTCGGGTATAAAGAAGGGAAAGAGGTCCACGACTGATCGCACACAACATAAAATTTGCGACCTTTGTGTCTCGAAGATGAAAGGAGCACAAAAGGTTGAGCCTATGTGCTCGTAATCTTTGAGTGAGCGCGGTGAAAAAAGTCGAACGTGCAAGAGTGTATGAGACCGAGGTCTTTGATAATAATGTTTATTCCCAACTTTTGGGTGGCATGCAACCTAGCATGATTATATGTTTACAGTCAGAATGAAGCATGACTGGGGGGGGGTTGGAGGTGCGGATTGCTCAAAAAGAGGATAACGTCATAAACGGGAGGGAATATCCGATGAAATAATAATAGGTTTTTTTACCAACTTGTTGGGAATAATGGCCATCAGGTCCGACTAGTTCAGAAACACAGACAGCTGACGTGCACTAAAGCTGAAAACCATTGCTGGCCATGAGTGACCTTGGGCTGTTGGCAACCAGAAATCTAGGAAGCTTGTGTGGGGGCAACTAGATGTAATGATGATAGCAAGTTGCCATGAAAGGTATCGGCCACGCTTTGCGTGTCACCAGAGAGAAAGTACTCGTCCCAGGTCTTATGGCGCAATGAGATTGCAAAGACTTCAAGAGTGCATGGGGAGAAGATGAAAGTAGTTAGGGCGAAAGAGTAGGATAAGGTACAGTGCTCGTCCAGCTGCAAGTTACAATACAATGGTTGCTGTCAGGAAACCTCGGGACAACTGCAGCGGTGAGGTAAAGATGGCCGCTGACAAGGGCGATTTCCAGGGTATGGGCACCGCGTGTTCGTTGCCTTACAAGCAAAAACCAGCCTCCGACATTAAGTTGGGCAAGCATAAGCGAAAGGCGCAAAGGGGATTTTTTTGAGATCAGGCAACCTCAGGAAGGTTGAGACAACAGACAGTTAGTTTGTTTTGGTAAGGTAGAGCTTGAGTGTGAGAAAGAAGCGTGGATATACGATTAATCGAACTAGTGGAGCGTGGAGGGTGCATGTACAAACACCTAAGGATGGACGGCGCGTTAATCCGACAGGCAGAAAGCCAAACCCAGTCTGGAGTGTCCACCGGTAGTGGATTGTCAACGACGAGGACTTCCATTTCAGTTCTGGAACAAATGAGGCAGCCACCTCCACGGCAATGCCAACGATCGGAACAGAAGATATTGTATCCCGGAAGGAGGGTGAAGGCATCAGGCGTGCTAGGAAAGAGCCACATTTCAGTGATGCAAACGATGGTTTGACGAGCTATAGTGGAGATAGCTTCGATGTAGTGCAGTTGAGGTAAGCGGGAGCGGGTGTTGAGTAGAACGACATACATAGTGTTAGCGGGATCAGGAGAGGGGGGTAGTGTGGATAGCAATAAGTTGACAGGCCCGCAGATGTCGATATGGAACGGAAAAGAGAAAAGGGAATCGGGAGTTCTCGAATTTCACGGATACACGGGTTGATACACAGGATCGAGGCTTTTTTCCAAGTTTCCCGGGTCGCTTTTTTTCTAGTCGGTCAGTGGCTGTCGTTCACCTGGAAGGCACAAGTGAAAAAAGGTTGTGGCACTGCTCTTTATGTTCTCAGCGCGGAGCAGTATGCTTGTCAGCGCGAGGATTCGCATGAATAAATGTCTGATAGTGCGTTGAATTGGGTTCTGGAAGGAGCGTGGACAACCGTCGGACGAAGGTCATTCCACGCATCTACTACCCGAAATGAGAAAAAATTTTCTAATGAATGTGTGCCCTGAGCTTGAAAAGATTCTCACTATGTCCCCGTCGTGTGTTTGCTGGGCCAACGGTAAAAGACCTGTTTGCAAAACTTTGTTCAAACAGGGCATAAGTAAGAACTAGTTTCCCTCGGAGGTTATGGTGCTCCAGGGGAAAGAGATCAATTATTGCGAGACGCGTTTCGGAGTCCACGGATTTGAGGCCGGCAACCACTCTCGTAGCGGCTCGCTGGACACGCTCAATGAGGGTGACGTCTTTCGTGCGTCCTGAGTAGACAACTTGGTTGGCGTATTCCAGGAGCGGTCTGACGTAGGCCCATAGAGCGTTTGGAAGTCCATGCGAGTAATACGGGAGAAGGTGCTTCGGATCATCCGTAAAATGGCTGATGCCTTCCGGGCCAATTTCTCATGATGCGATAAGAAGGACGAGTTTGAGGAGCCTCAGATCCCCGAATCCTTTTTGGCATC